GTACCACTGTCATTATCCCCGTGAAAGAGTACGCCACACCACACTAAACACTCGTCTTACCGGCGGTTCGACGAGCTTGTGCTGCTGTTGCATGCGGGTTTTCTATCGTAGATGCTAGTACTGTTGTAGGTACTGCTACTGTTGTAACCACCGCCTCCACTATATATGCTCGTAGCTGGGGGTGTATACGTAGTGGTGGGGGGCGGGGCCCTCGGGGCGCTAGGGGCGCTAGGGCTTTTATAGCCACTGCTAGTGTATGTAGAGGCTGGTGAGCTCTGCTTGTTACTGCCGTACCCACTGCTAGTATACGTAGACTTCTCCGTGTTATTTGACCCGTAGCCCGAACTCTTGTACGAGGATGCTGCGTATCCGGTTGCGGCGGCCGGAGCTGTGACTGTGTATATATGGATACAAGAGTGTATACTCAGAGGTCAATGAGCGCATGCGTGTTCCTACAAGATAGGACGATGTATATGTAGCGTGTAGGTTCACCTGGATGCGCCAGCACCATTGATTTCATATACAGCCTGGTATATTTATCTACCCTATGCCGGTTTGACCAATGCAATACGTTTCCGAACAGTGTACTCGGTGCACCTCAAGAACATCTCCAAAACAAAGTAGCACACCCCAACATTGCATACCTGGAGGGGTTCTTGCCCGTGGTGGCTCTGGACTCTTCTTGCCATATGCCTTGGCAGTGTATGTGCTCTTTTCATACCCACCCGTGTTCTTGGTGGCGTTGGTCACGTACCCCGTTGATGCTGAATAAAACAGAGATGTGCGTGAGTGAGATGATGAGGAAGTGCCTTGCACGTCAGACTGTGTACAGCTTAGCGGAAGAATGCGATTGATAATGTTTAAATGATCCGTTCCGGCAGGTAAGAGCGTACTTAACGCTTAAAAGAAGGTGAGGCACATTCTCTGCATCACATTCCTAACCAGAATTACGCACGCAGACAGATGCAGATAGTAGAAACCTACACACGCATGTGCACTCAGAGCTCTACACAACTCACTGCAGGCAGGTGCCCGCAAGCAGGCCGTATCATGAGCCTGCTGGGACATACGCATGACGAAATATGAATATATTACAAATCAAAAGAAAGTAGTCTAAGAGCGACGAGATACATATACACGGATATACACGTAGAACGGCACACAAATCATGACAAGACCATACCCGCAGGGGCAGTACCAGTCTTACCGCTGTATGAGTTTGATCTGGGCTTCGCAGTTGCGCCAGTCTGCGGGCGGGAGGGCGGCACATTCTCCGGTGACAGACTGCCTCTGTCGTCCTTGAATGTTTCCCCCTGAGCATGCACATGGTGTTGATAAGTGATTTGAAAAATGACAGATAGTATTAAATAGGATAGTATTAAATAAGTCGATATCCGTGAACGCTATCTTGTTAACTTCCCACTAGTTCATCAGGTCCTGTGGTGTGAACTAATAGGGCTGTGCGAGGCAATCTCTACAATAAGTGGGGAGCTAACTTGTGGTTTGGGCAGTAACGAATGATGGGTGGTAATATGGATGACAATCACCAAACATCGCAGCGTAAGAAAAATCCCAACATGGACCGTCTACTTCCACAGTTGAAGGCCATCGCCTTGAAAGTGAAGTACGCAGGTCAGTACAGGGACTGTGGAAAGCCGGCTGAATATACAATAAGCACAAACTTTGTAATATCCAGACAGATTGATATCTACTAAAACAGGAGCCAGGGGGCGAAATCACGACAATCAACTGCAGTGACCACTCTAGTTGTGCCTGAGAAGAGTACCTTATAGACATACAGGACGCTCCTAGACGTCCATCTGCTACCCCCAGGGACATAAAGGTTAAACGACTGTATCTTGTGTAGCAGCGTAGATTCACACCTCTCGCTAGCGTACACGGGTGAATTGCGTTACAATATCGACCATGACATATACGATACAGAGCCAACAGACTCTGAAGCAGCCAGCGTACACAGCACATACAGTCCCACTTATTTGCTCATCACAAGTAGTATCTATTTATAGCACATACCATTCCTCGCATCTGCAGACACTTATGTAGCCGCCTGATCGCTGTAGCACCCTGAGGCTTGACTGGTTGTAGGTCTTTGAAGCCGTTTAGCACATCCATGGTATCCACATCCTGTCCGTAAAACTGTATAGCCGGAAGTTAGCCGGAAGTCAACACGTTTGAACATTAAGGAATGCAAATTTACTAGGTCGATGTGCATGCCCTCACATTGGCACTCCTGAACACACATATACATATACACACACACACACAT